CTGACCGCAGGTGTTGGAGCCTTTCAACTTTCATCTCAGATCGAATTGTTCAGGTAAACTGTCAGACAAACTGTCGTTGCAGCATCCCCGTGCAAGGAACCCTTGCGAAAGCTTGTTGCTTTCTGCTCTTAAGAAAGATGCTGTGAAAGTGCGCCGAAGATCGTAAGTTTTTGCGTTTCGGGGGCCAGGCCGAGTGGTGCGCCTCCAAGTATCGAGCCCTGGAGGCGAAGGCGGCGGCTCATTGGTGGGGGGCAATTCTGAAACTTTTTATGCGCATGATTTGCAGCTATGTTTCTTTTTCATGTCATGGCCGGCTTCACCTGGATATGTTTTTGACCACGGGAAAGTTTTGAAACTCTGGCCAGGACGAGGGACTACTGGAGGCTCCGCACATGCTAATGGGCGTTTGGGCAGATTCGAAACACACAAGCGTTGCCTACGAGTTCTGTTGCCTGGGCAGGAGAGGCATGCACTAGAAAGGCTTCGTCTTGAGGAGCAGCGAACTCGGCGTATCCATTCATGCTCCTGCGGCATGGACTGTGATGCTTTTATTCGGTTGGTTCGATGGGAGCTGGTTCTTCTGAGTAAATCTAAGATATGAAAGCCGGGCGAATCAAGAAGCCTTGCTGCACCACACTGAGCCTTGCAGCCTCATTCACCGCAAGTGCTACTTTGCGCCTGGTGGCACAGAGTGGAGATGATGCGTGGTGGAAGTATAACACCAGGACACCCCCGTCCAAAGCATTCGAAGGGTGGGTGAAGGCATGCATCATCCGTGGTCCCGGGGTCCCCCGTGATTGGCAGAGTCATCCAGCATTTCGGTGCTCGACAACTGAGATCACAGGGATCCAGCCTATTTGAGGTGACAGACATGCTTTTCTGTGATGTAAAGCCGCAACCCGTGGGATGCGACGTGGGACGGACCTTTGGTGTCGTGAATTTCGCAAGTTTTCGAAAGGCGGGGCAATTCGCATCTCAAAAACATGGCAACAGCGCCCGGGACGAAGTGGTGATTTGCATGACAGTGATGGCTTTTGTCATGGCAGAAAAGCAAGTCCAAACTCGTCAGAGTCTGGACAGCCGGCGCTTCTGAACAGGAGAGTGGGGAAACCACACCACGGCGGCCGCAAAAAAAACCATACATGGGGCGGAAGATGCGGGCAGCGGACCATGTCACACAATGTATCCCGGCGCCTCTAACTTCCGGTGAAGCCGACGGGTCATTCCATGTCACTGAGGTGCCTGGAGCATCAGGAGGCGAAGCTCGTGGAGCAGTCCTTGCGTCACAGCCCTGGACGGACAAGAGCCAGCTGTCAGAGCAGGGAGTTCGAGAGAGTGGCTCAAGGATTTCGAAATAACTTCGGGATGGATGGGGAAAGGATGCCACGACACAGATCCAGGTGCGCAGCAGCTCATGCTGCAGCGCCACGACTGCAGCGTGAGTCGGCTGGCTGCCAGGCCGAGTCTTCTGCTCTCTGTAGCCGGGGTCATTCAAAGCCCACACAGCCGGTTCATGCTCTTGTGGTAGTGCTGAAATTTTGCTTGTGCCAATTTTGCGGTGAGACTTGATAAGGCAAAGGCGGGCATGGGCTGCTTTGGGAGGCTCTGCGGAGGACATGGAGCAGGCGGGCAATTGAGGGCTTCGTGGCGGTTGGCCCACATGGCTGCAGCTCTTGCATTCGCTTGCAGAGAGGAGTTCTGGCTGCGCAAGAGCCATAGGCCATCGGCCACATGCTGTTGAGAGTTCGTTTTGGGAAGGCGCTGTGGTCCGCGGCCGGGCGTTGCACGTCCAAGGAAGCTCCTGGTTGGCTCTCATGTTTTGATTAGGTACAGGATTGTTTATGTGGCTTTGGTTCATATTGCTGTACCATACCCACCTGCACTACTATATCACCCACCTCTAAACCCTTTCCACCAGAATTAGGATCTGGGGTCAGAAGCTTCATTGAAGCTTAAATGAACATCTCCAAACCCACAGTACACCAAGCACGTCCAACAAGCTGCACAAAAATCCACAACACGATCCTAGAACAAAGTCACCAACCAAAACCCATTATTCAGGTTGTCAGAAAGATAATGTGACGGACGTATTCACTGATGCTTGCAAGACATGTTGCCATTGCCCCGAAGGCACCGACAGAAACACCAAGACGTATGTCATTGCCATATATGCGATAGAAAGAGGTCTCACAGGCTGAAACGAGAAAGAGCACACATGCAAAAATTCACATTCGCAAAGAACCAGGTAGAGGAGAATTAGATTGTTTAAGTTTTCAACATGAGTGATGCAAAGCGAAGACGGGTGATAGGATTCCTGGGAAAGTTCGATCGATTTTATTACATAGTTTCAGTGGGCACTTTTAGAAAGGGAACCACACGGGGGATATCACCAGGTGAGATGTGGGGCTAGCCACAGCTTGTCAGAAGATTGATTATTGAAGCGTTGGACATAGCTCGAGAACTGTATGCGAGGAGGGTGACTGCCGTAAGATGCGGCGGTCTGCATCTACACCAGCCGCAAGGCAATGTGCACGTGCGGTGTTGGTTGAGTAGGTTTCTGGAAGGGTACGAAGAGAAATCGCCGTTGTTGCTGCTTTCTGGCCATCGGTGGTCGGATCAGAGCTCCCGGTCTGTCTCCACGTCCTATCTTCGGACTATCGCTGAGATTCCGTAGCCCAAGTGCTAGAGGCGACCCAAGTCTGCCATGGCTTGATTCGACGATCCTCCGCTGCATCTAGTTTAAGGGTTTGGTTTGGACGCATCCACAAGTGTCTGCTGGAAACGCTGTGATCGTCGTGAGTCATTGCTGCTGTTGATATCGAGTCATGCTTCTTTAATGGCGAAATAGAGTTGAATGGATTTTTGCGAGAAATGTAATGTAAGGGAGTACTGTTGCTTACGTGCAGTCCGCAAATGCCATCGCTTCGTAAGATTCCTCTTTCTGTACTGTTCAGCTCGACCCGTGCGCCTTCGACACCTCGCACTTTCAGATGGTGCTGTTGGACAACTTCACAACCTAATCGACAGTCTGGATTTGGATCAATGCCTTACAATGCCCCCCAACCAGCCACAATTTTCAGACAATGATATGCTCACTTGAGCCTCCAAGGAAGTTGCACCTCACCGAGCTGCCCATGGATGTTAGCTCAACATGAGCATGACGATTCCATGTGTACATATGCGCCGAAACTCCTTTGAAGGAGGAGGGACGGAGAGACAAGGCAGCACCGAGGGACAAACATGCGCTTGGATGCGCAGCCTCAAGTTCGACAGAGAGAACTCGAATCATTGCCTTCTCAGCTGTGCCTGAGTCTCCTGGCAAGCAAAAAGCCTTCCTGCGTTCAGGCTCGGGCCTCACTATGCTCATGACCGTCACGGCAGTCAAAACTCAAAAGACGGAACACGGCACTACTGTTCCCGTAGCTCATCATGAGCTGTAGTTGCGATAGTGACTAGGTCTGTGCACATTAAAGTCGAAATAACAGTCTAAGAGTAGCAGTCAATTTCTGGCTGGTGCCGTTGGTGCCATGTGATGATGGCACGTGTGGAGGTGGGTGTTGCTCAGGATTAAGATTTGAGCATTACAGATGGCAGGTTTCAGAACGAGATGGCCAGTCCTTTGAGTTTCTCGAGTGCTAAACCAGTACGTCATGCTGCTGCAAGCAGAGAATTTTGCTCCCGTCCAGGTCGGCGTACCACGCTGGCAGCAGCTGTGAGGAACTCGTCATGGAAAGCATATGGAGTCTTAGATTCCGTGGACACTCCAACTGCTGGTTACCATTCACAGGGTGCACCTGCGCAGCGGGAAGGAGAAGAACAGCATGTTTTCCCGACAGAAGCTGCGCACACATCTCGATTGAACTGCGAGGTGCTCTAAGTCAATGGCAGTTGTTGTAGAATACCCTGAACCTTCGTCCAAAGTTGAAGCACTGAAGCTTCGGCCCTTCTGCACATGGAGACCCAGAAAGCACTCTGAGTCGGTCAAGGGCTGCCTCGAAACTGCGGGGTCGTCCGAGGCAGCAATGGACGCCTCTGCCGGGTGAGTCCTGGTTCCTCTGGCATGCTTCTTGTTTTGCCACGATGCTCCGTACAGTTTTTTTGAATTTGTGAGAACCCCTGTGGTTACCGTGGTTTGGCAGCTCGTCCAAGCTGTAAGCCGCAACCTTTGAATCTTCGGAAGTTCTCTGCGCTTCCCAACGGGCAGAGAGAGAAGAGAAAGCACGCTTTTTGTTCCAATTTTTGCAGAGCGGCTCCTTGTTTCCAGTGGGGTTTCAGGCTGGCGCGGCCCTTGAAGTCGCTGGGCCTCGCCGACGTCTTCCATGGTGCCCAAGCTTCCATGGTGCCACAGAAAGATTCAAAAAAGCCGTTGACCTTGGCAGGTGATGGTGGAGCCGTGGCCTCAGCTCTGGTATGGCTCTTGGCTGCCTGAAGGGCGTGCTTCGAGTCATCTTGACCTTGGCAGGAGGGCCGAGCAAAGCGGGTGAGGCCCGCACTACTGGTTCGCGTCAAGCGCTCTCTTTAAGCTCTAGACAGCAAGTCAGATCTGCAGCCTAGGGGCCTAGCAGCTCGGCCTAGCAACCTAGGAAATCGAGGGAGGATCTAGGGGCAACTTCCGGATCTGACCAAACACGAGCCGCAGTGTCTATGAATCTGTTGACGGTGCCTGTTTTCATGAAGCTAGGGATGTCGCGAGAATCCCTTCTGGCGACTTGAGGGTTGACAGCATCGCACCCCTGCAAGGGAGTGGCCTGTTGTTGCGGCAAAGCGCCAACGGACCGGCTCGTGGCACTCGATGCCGCCATGCCATGCACGCTTTTTCCCTGATGTGGTTGAGGGCCCAGCGCTGGATTGGGATTCTAGTCCGTGATTTCGCTGCTCTCTGAGAATCACTCGGAAACCTCGGTGTTCTGTCTCAGCATCACGTATTGTGTGATACGTGTCCTGACCGTAGCGCGGCCTGTCACAGACCATGGCCGATGCACAGCTCCTCAAAGTGGCAGGTTGCTTGCGCCACCGAAGCCCGACACGATCGGCCGACCCTCGACTGCACCTTGAGCGGCGCCTCTTCGGCTTGCCGCAATGACGAAAGACTTTCACGTAACTTCGTGAAATGAACCAACTTCAGGGTTTGATCGGGCACCATTCGGCAAGTGGTCCTCACAACATTCCCTGCGTATCCTGCGTAACCACTCGCACACCCCAGGATCGCTGTTTGCAAAGCCGAAGTCCGGCGGGCGGCTTACATGCGACCCTCACCTCGCTGCCGCTGCCGAAAGCCTCGTTGTCTTCCCACGGCCAGGCCACAGCAAGGAGCCGTTTCGAGAAAGCATCCAGCAGGGCTCAAGGCCAGCTTCCACGCGCGGGAAGACGAGCGCAAAGGATTCCGAGGAAAGCGATGAGGAAAGCCAGGCCTCGGAAGCCGAATCAAAGGCTTCGAAGGCTTCGAACTCGAAGGCTTCAAAGAAGGGCAAGGATGCCGAGGACGCGGCAGGTGGTACCATCGAGGTCAAGGATCCGGAGACCTTGTGGAAGGTGAACATCGAAGCAGTCTACCGGCGAAAGAATCCGCAAGCCCGGCCGTGTTCTTGTAGCATCCTGCGGCATCTTGCAGCTTGTGCTAAAGCGCTTGCCCGCAGTGCGTCCGTGCCAGGAAACTCTTGTCGAAGGTGCCGGACTTCATTGCCAAATACAAGGCCCCTCAGACACCATTGACCAGTTACATTTACGTGTAGTGCAACTTGTTGCACGGAGTGACATGTACGAGCGACAGCAGCAAGTCTACACGCAGCTGCTGGTCGCTAGAGGATTCTTTCAGCTCTTCGCATAGCCTCGCCCTCGCCTCGCCATGGCCGGAAGCGGAAGCGGTGCACCAGGCAGCTCTAGCGACGCACCCGCTGAGCCTCGCCTTGACTTTCGCACCGCGGCGAGGGTCTTCCAGGGACTTGGCCAGCTGAGCGATGACGATGTCACGGTGTGCTTGAGGGCAGCTGGAGTGGAGACCTCGCGCAGAGTGTTAGGCCTGCGCCACAGCGCTCTGATGGGGCTCGATGGCCACTACCGCGCGCGGATTATGGCGCGGGATGCCATTCTGGCGCAGCACCACCCAGCAGCCGCTCCGCAGCAGACGCCTCCCTCAAAGCCTATGCCGACTGTCGGGCCGACCAGCAAGCAGGCCTCCAAGGGCACTGGGAAGACCGCGCCGCAGCCCGCACAGCAGCCGGGAACGCCCTCTACCAGTACCACGCCTCCGCCGGCGACTACACGACCCACGGCTACTTCAGCAAGCGCAGGGGCCGGCCCCGGTGGCACAACCGCAGGCAAGGCAACGGTGCCGAAGAAGACGCCGCCAGCCAAGCCGACTGCGGCCGCCGCACCCGCCGCGCCGCCTGGAACGGTGAAGCCTGGAGTGGTGGCTCACATCGGCAAGCGCCCTCCCGTGGTACCCTCGGCGCCTTTCGAGGACTCGACAGCCCAGGACGTCGAGCTCATGGTGGACAGGCCAGTTGGGACAGCCAAGGCCCCATCGCCGTCGCCACCGCCGCCCGCCGCTTCGCTGGCCTACCTCGACTTGATCGTGCCGGACCTCGAGGACCACATGCTCCAGGCGCCCACGACGAAGGCTTTGCCGCCAGTGCCGGAGTCGCCAATGTCAAGCGAGCACGCCGAGGAGGAGCAAGGACGCCTGGATGGGGACAGCGACTCCGACGACGACGAGCCGGTCGCAGTGGAGCCGTGGCCTAGGGATGAAGAGGACGATGGCACCCCCGCACAGCCCGCCCTCGCAACGCCAGCAGCCCCGAGGGAGACGGCCACGGACACCGACGCGGGCGCCACGCAGGAGACTGGTGGGGAGGAGCAGCCGGCTGCCTCGTCAGCCGACCTCCCGCAGACCGCTTCCGCTGGAGACCCGGACGATGCTCCTTTGCCACCGCCCAAGTTCCCGCTGCCGGACGTCGTGGAAAGGGAGAGGAGGCGAGCAGAGCGCCGCGCCAGAGAGAGGGCCGAGCGCGAAGCAGAGCGAGCCGAGCGTGAGGCCGCCGAGCGCGCTACGCTCGACGCCTGGGCCGGCTACCCAGACCCTTGCAACGTCTTGCAGAACGAGACGAACAGCATCTGGACGTTGCCGCCGGGGGTGCCGCCACAGCCCGCTCCTTCTCGCCACGCAGACGCACACGTTCAAGGCTATTGTAACCTCGGGTGTGAAACCCCGAAACGCCTTCGAACGAATGTGTGCCTTGGCCGCTGCTACCGGCCCATCATACAGACGAGGGCCGGCACGGTGCATAAGCACCACTTTTGCTCCCCGTGCGATCGCACACGCACAGCTCGCGACCGCTGAAAGCCACGGGAGCCGACAAATGTTTTGCTAGATCTTCCCTTTGCCGCCTCGCTGCGCGCCGCCAAAAAGGATGAAGACCGAGAGTTTGTGATGACCCGCTCCCCCGGCCCTAACCCGCAGGAGTGAGTGCGCGCTGCTACTCTCCTCGCGTGAGCTAGGTCTCCCCTCTCTCGTTTGCTCTCTTCCTCGCTGAAGCCACACTGTCAGGAGAGCCTCTTCTCGCGCATTAGGCCTCCCTCCTTCGTTGACTCTCTCCTCCCGGCTGTGTGAGCGTAGGGTCTGCACTTGGACAGTTGATGTCACTTGCGAGGGCTTCGCTGGCGCTGTATCCACATGTTCACTTGCATGTCCTTGTCTGTCAGTGCAAGTGTCGAGCCTCGCCTCGCTTCGCTTCGCCTCGCTCGTTCGGACGTGTGGTGGGCTCGGACCTCGTCCGTCGCGGGGGGGGCTTCGTTTCGGGTCGCATCTCGGAGGTGCCTTCGGCCTGCTCGCGTTTCGCCTCGCTTCGCTTTCGCTCGTGCGTTTGCATAGGAGGGCTTCAGTGACTGCTTGTGCACTTGTACTTGTCCACACTTGCCTTGCCTGAGCCCCCCGCCAAGCCACGCTGACAGGTACTTCTTCTTTCGGATGCCAGACGCAGGGTGTCGGGGAGCCGCAGCTCTCCTCTCGAGGTTGGTTAGTTCTGTGTGAGCACACTTGTGTGTAGCGCTGCGCACGCCCGCTCGCGCCATGACGACATACGACTTCACTTGCTTTAACGACTTGATTCGCGCTTGCTTCGACGCGGGCCTTGGGACCGAAGTCGTGGATCTGTTGAGCGACGAGCTCATATATAGAGAGCATCCACGACGCTGCACAACGCATTGAATCGGTCTCTCCGACCCTCGCCGCACATATCACGGTCTTGATCGAGCATTCTGGCTACCGCCCGAAGATGGCCGCGGTGCAGTTGGAACCAGCCGCGCACCAGATGCCCGGCTCCCTCGCGGAAGCTCGCACGGGGACGCCGCGCGGCGACGGTCAGGGCTCCGGGGCACCAGCCCGCCATGACCTGCCGCAGATCCGTACCTCAGCCGGGGGGCTTCTGAGCCGAGCGATAGCCGCAGCCAAGCCGGCGAACGCACAGCATGCCCTGCAGGATTTTCGCGACAACATCTACGCTCGCTCCGCACGGGCTCCTCTGGATGCAAGATGGACTACATGGTGCAAGATTTGTTCTGCTTGGGAACAAGAACCCATCCCGCTGACTCCCGAGCTGATCGAGATGGTTGGCGCAAGCTTCCGTTTCGGGGGGTATCGCAGCTCCGCGCAATACTTCTCCCGAGCCCGCAAGGAACACATTCGGGTGACCGGAATGCCGGCACCGGCCGCCGTTGAGTTGGCGATTCGGGACGCTATCCGCTCCATCGAAAGAGGCATGGGGGCCAACGCCGCTAAGGACGCCTTCCGCCTCGATGTCTTGGACTTCGACCTCACCTCCAAGGGCGCGAGCTTCTCGCTGGCACATGGCATGGTGGTTTTGGGATCTTGGTTCCTATGTCGGGAAATCGAGCTCGCCAATCTCCGTGTGAAACACATGGCAGTGGACACCACCGCCAAACAAGTCACGCTGGCGCTGGCCTCGAGCAAAACCGATACAGTTGGCAGCCTGGTGCATCGCAAGCACTCTTGCTACTGTGGTGTGGTTCCTGAGAACATATGCCCTTACCACGCAGCGCTGCGCATCGCCGATGAGTGCTCCGTGGACCCAGAGGACTTTCTCTTCTCACCGACACCGGGCGTTCCGCTCAGCAAGCACCAGACCATCGAGCTCATCCATGATGTTTTGCAGTCAGCCGGGATCAACCTCTCCAGACCAGGCGCCCCGGACGAGCCCGACGTGCAGGGCTTTGGGGGTCACTGCCTCAGGGTGTCGGGCGCGCAACATCTGTGCCGCATGCGCATACCTGTGTCGACCATCATGCTCCTTGGGAGATGGGGGAGCCGAGCAATCGAACGCTACGTTCAGGAAACCGAGCTCGAGTACCTCTACCCGGTCGCGCCGTCTGCACCGCCTATGACGCCAGCGCGTAGCCAGGCCATCATGGACACAGCCAAGGAGCCGGACTTACGACAGTGGACCTTGGTGCAGCCATCGGCCGAGATGCAGGAGCCGCCGGCCCAGGGGGCCAAGAAGCCCCGCACGGCCAGCAGCGCCAAGGAGGATACGCAGATTTCCTCGCTCCTGGGGACCCTCGACGGCATAGCGGAAAGGCTCGAGGCGATACAGGACCGACCGGACCTAGTCTGCAAGTCCAAGGCGCACGCTCGCGATCCTGAGGAGTCATCTCGCCCGCCAGTGCAATGGCGTGCCAAGTGCGGTTGGGCGTACGGTTACGCCAAGTTCACCAGAGCCCACGACGACGGCTCCAAGGAATTGTGTCGGAAGTGTTTTCCGGAGAGCTCCGCAGCCTCGACTGCTAAGTTGGAGCATGCGCCAGCTCGGTCTGAGGACGAGTCCACCGACAGCGCCAGCTCATCTTCCAGCTGATGAGATGAATCGCTACGCAGCGCATTTTGCAAAAGCGGCCTCGCACCGCTCGAGAGGGTCTTCTTGTGCGAGCTGAAACTTTGCTGCCGTTGTCTGGCCACCCGCAGCCCTGCTTTTTCTCTTAGCCCTTGCCCGCCCCGCCTGACCCATGGACCCTTCCTTGCAGGCGCTGTTCTCTTCCGCGGGCGCAGCCGAGAGCCTCAGGAAGTACATCACGAACATCGGCGTGACGACCACTGCCATTTTCGCCGAGCTCGGGGAGACGATCGAGGAATTCGACGAAGCAGTTGTCGCGCAGCTTCGCAAGCCTGTGGATCTGCACGACGGGACCGTTTTGGAACTGGCCGCGACAGAGTTTCCAGTGGCACGCGCTCGCCTCAGGCACGTGTGGAAGAAGTGTCGGGAAGCACACACGACCGCGACGCCCGCAGCGACGGCCACCACCACGACGACTTCGTCTTCCTCCTCGACTAAGACGAAGGAGCTGCCTCCCGGATACTGGCAGCAACAGATCAAGAAATACGAGGCAGTCCAGATCAAGGGCATCGCGAGGAGATTTCCCGCGACGCTACTCCTCGGCGCCGAGGCGACGCTGGCTAAGCTCATCGCCGACGCCAAGAACGGACAACACTGCTCGGTGCCGCTGGAAGAGATCGTGCAGCACCGTCATTTCAAGGCGTCGGGCGAGCCTAACAACCTCGCCTCCAAGAAGCGCTCTCGCACGCAGGAAGCGACGACTTTGGTCGTGAACGCAGACTTGCAGTTGGAGACGGAGCCCGAGGATCGCTGGCACCCGCAGTCGCAGACGGCTCTCCTGGACTGCTTGACGGCCAACCACATGGCGCTTATATTCATCGAATATGCGCCCGAGCACGACTTGGACCGCTACTTTGAGTACTGGCAACGCCTGGTACGCAGCAAGCCCAACAAGATCGAACAGTTGAAGCTCCACTGGGAAAACACATCCTGGCGCATAGCGCTTGCGCTTCGGAAAGCCACTCCCTTCAAGGAGATCGCCGACGAGATCATCGTTGACAGCCAGGCCCTCCAGGACGCCATGAACAGAGACATTCAGCCCGAACGCCCGACCAAAGCGCCTCGCCAAACCGAGCAACCCTGGCTGGATCGTCGCGGTGGCCGTGGTCGCGGACATGGCAAAGGGAAGGATTGGCAGCCCTACCGCTCGTACACCAAAGGGGGCGACAAAGGCAACGGCCGTGGAAGAGGCAAAGGTCGTGGACAGTGGCAAGGACAGCGCTACCAACGCCAGTACGACGAGGACAAGGACTACTGGCGCCGCAACGACGACAACCGCTACCGCGCCAACGACCAGAAGTACTGGAAGTCCTGGCAACAAGGCGAAGGGCAGCACCGTGATCATCGTGACCACCGCGATCACGAATAGGGACAGCACGGGCCATCCCATGAGGGTGGACCCGACCTTGCCACAGCAACAGTAGAGCCTTCAACTTGCGCTCGCTCAAGGTCGCCGCTCCCTCGCCGTCGTGAACAAGGTCCACCCCTCAGCCCTCCCAAGCCGCCAGGGCATCATGGGAGATCGACAAGGACTTAGAGAGCTTGGGTGCCGAGCACTTCCCGCAAGTGACGCCTCGCGGAGACTTCGAGCAGGAGGACGCAGCAACCATCCAGAAGCTTGTTGAAGAGCTCGACCCGTCCGGTCGAGCCCGCATCGTGATAGCGGGCGGACCACCTTGTCACGATTTTTCTAGGATCCGGCAAGACGCTCCTGGTCACGCCGGACACGAGGGCTCGAAATTCACCCGCTTCGCCCAGCTCATCCAGTCTGTAGAGAAGTCATGGGGCTGCAGCCGCGCCATCTTGCTCGTGGAAAATGTGATTCCGCAAAACAGGGCGGATATGAGGAAGGTGGAGCGCATGCTGGACGCCCCGCGGTGGTACATGATGCTTCGGATTTTGGGACGATTTCCCGTCCCAGAGTCTGGTGGTGTCGCGTGCCCTGGCAGGAGATCGCGCACCGTAAGGATTGTCCCTTCAACCTTCGATGGACAACCATGCAGGGGATCCCGCGCGTGCACTTCGACGTGGACAAGGACACGCTGGACTCTTTCGACACCGAGGGCCTCACCCTGCCAAGGGTGCCTGACCGAGGAAGCCAAGCCAGTGCCGCGCCTGACCACACCTTCCGACGACCCGCAAGGACGCCCAGCACCGCGGAGCTCGAAAGGCAAGATCAGCTCGGAGGCAACACAACGCTGGCTCGCTGACAAGAGGCGCTACGCTCCGTGGCATTACGAGTCAGGCGTCATGATGATGGATCGTGACCAGCGCCATGGTGCTTCCTCCCGCCAACTTCAAGGAGCAATGGCGCCACTTGCCTAAAGGCTGGTCCGCATCGCTCCCAGACCACGCCCGCCACAAAGCCATCGCAAATGGCTGGCACGCGGGCGCAGCAAGATTGATGTTCATCATGGCAGTGTTCGCAGCCACGCCGCCAACGCCAGCAGCAGAACTTAACCCCCTCGGGGGCACGCCTCTTGACATCACAGCCGCGCTATGGCAGGGCAAATCCCCTTTGCTTGGACCAGGACCAGGTGACTACGACGAGTTCGACCTCTCACACTTGGAGGACCCCGACGAGCACTGGCGACAGTCACGCGTCATGCCTCATCCGGACGCGAGGGATGCCGCGATCGAGCCCGGTTTGAGGCAGTGGCTCCAAGTGTGGTCACGAATGAGGCCACACCTCCCGGAGCTTCGCGACGCCGTGGCCCAACAGATTGAGGACCTCGTCGACGACCTGCAGGAGGAAACGGAAGCCTGGTACTCTAGACTCGCGCCGCACGTCCAGAAGGCCTACCGCAGCGAGACTCGCACATGCTCTTTGCAGCTTCCAGCTCTGGAAAAAGTGTGCAACCTCTTCGGCTGGCAGGACAGGGATATTTTCAAGGAGCTAACGCACGGGTTTCGTCTTCTAGGACCTCTCGCACCCGGATTGGGTTGGAAGACACGCAATGACCTTCGCTACGCCGACCCCATGCCGATAGACGAGTTCCTGCAGAAGAACGAGCTCTACGTCAGGGACAAGCTTCGCCGTTGTCGCGTTGACCCGTGCTGGGAAGCCATGGCCCAAGAGATCGCCGGCGACGTCACCAAGGGACGAATGGAAGGCCCCTTCAGCAGCCCGGCATCGTGGCCGAAGCAAGCAGTTCCCTTGACGACGTTCTCTCACACCAGCAAGCTGGCGCAGGGGCCAACAGCCCACAAGCCCACCTGTTTCGCCTTCGCTGTGCATCAGGTTGGCTCCGACGGCAAGCCCAAAGTGAGGCGGGCAGAGGACTGGAGACGCTCCTTCGCCAACGCCACGGTCGGTGCAAAGGACAGCCCAACCTACCACGACATTTCTGCCTACGTTCAGCTTGCCGTCGCCATCAAGCAGAAGCACCCGCAAGCGCAGCTACTCATATGGGGCCTGGACCACGAGGCCGCCTATCGCCAACTGGCGGCTGAAGACCCCGACCATACATGGGTCATATTGCCAACGCCACATGGCATTACCCTCTGGCGGCATACAGTGCTGATGTTTGGGTCGGTGGCTTCCGTATGGGCCTACTGTCGCATCGCCGACCTTATGTCATGGCTATGCCGCGCTTGCCTGCTCACGCCAGCGCTGCATTTCGTGGACGATTTCGGGAGTTGCGAGAACGCCGACCTCGCCTCGTCCTCTTTCGAGTGCTCTAAGCGACTGTGCAGGGCTTTAGGTTTTTCTTTCAAGCAGTCTAAGGAACAACCGCCGCACACGACACAGGTGATTCAGGGAGTCGAGATCTCCGTGCACGACAGCTTCGTGAAGGTCAGTGGCACCGCTGCACGCAGACAACGCTTGGACGAGGACCTCGTGAGCATCCTCATGTCCAACAGGCTGCCACCCAACGAGGCATCCAGCTTAGCGGGTCGGCTTCAGTTTTATTGTCAGTCTCTTTTGGGCAAGTCGCACTCCGCCGCGCTCCGACCTTTGTTTCGCCGAGCACAGCTCACGGGCCATGGCAGGGACAACCAACAGTGGAGCCTCAACAAGCAACTACTGCATGGCATCGGGATTCTTCGTTGGAGCTTGAAGCACGCAGCGCCCAGGACGCTTCCCTTCGAGCCAGAGCCGCACTCGGTGGTGTACGCTGACGCCTTCTTCAACCTGTTCGACAAGGACTGGAAACCGGGCGATGACGACATCCCCAACTGGGGCAGGACTCCGCCCGAGACCTTGCGGAACGGATGGGGCTTCGTGGCCACAATTCGTGGTCGTACGCTCTACGCCAACGGCACCGTCCC